GCCTTACATGTACTTTATGTGCACTAAAGGTGTGACTATGTAATAGAAAACACTCAATAATACAGTACAGTAATATACTGCTGTACAATATTGTTTATCTTTAAAAAATCCTATTTGCGATAGGTATAGCCTCGGCAATGTGTTAATTAGGCCTGGCCTATTTATTGTATTGTGTAATATGATACATGAATTTGGAATAAAATTATATTAAATATACAGTAGTATTTAAAATTTTTATTTATACCGAGGTATGAAACTTAAATAAAATCTAATGCATTAATTGCAGTTTAATTGTTTATTTTATCAAATATTGGGGTTAAAATAAGGTTAATGCAAATTGGTAACGTAAATCGTTGGTAGTAATAATTAATTATCTTAAATTAGGCAGGTATTAATCGTTTTCAAAAGAGTTATATTCAATCATATGTATAATATTTTGTAATGCAAACATTCTTGATAACCTCTTCAACTTAAGGATGTTTTTTCCTCTTATTTTACCTCAATTTAGTACATATACCCCCCCCGGCCCAGAATAAAGGATGACTGAAAAAAATTATAGTTGTGTAGTACATTAACCCCCACCCCACCCCACCCCAACAAACAAGGAATGAAATAAATTATAGTTGCATTATTTAATATATCTATGTGTGTGTTTTTTTAATAAAGTATGCCTACAACGGATATAAACAAGGCCATTAAAAGCCATGCAAACGTACAGTACGCACATGTGTTTTCACTAACAAAACCACACATGTGAGATGCCAGCCTGCGTACACATGGCCTAACATCGTCTTCATAAAAAAAAAATTAAGCAAACAACTATTCATGGTGTTGGCATTATTGATTTCGTTTATAACTGAGAATCAAACATACACCAACGACTTTCATGTAGTATTATTATGAACAAAGATACGATGAAAGACGTAATACATACCTTTTTTATCTAAAAAACATGACAAATAACGGTTATTTGCATCAAATTTCGAAAAACCTCTCTTCACCTTCCTCATCGGGTCAACGAACATTACAGAGATAAACAAGGAACTTGAACTCGTCATCTAATGAATATTCATCATTTTTTCGCCAAAAGACCTTTTTATTTGCCGTTATTGGCTAGTCAATATGACGTATATTTCTATTTTTGACTACCGGGTTTTAAATGCGGTTTGTTCTGTTACTGTTGCGCGTTTATGTACTCCACGCGCGCCGGTTCAGAAATGAGAGCGTGCTAGTTATTTTATATCTTCGAAACCACAGTGACGTCCGACGAGAGTTCGTGCATCGTGCACAACATCGACATGAACACCAAACGATGCGCTCTGACTGGTAAAGAATTCTACGAGAACCAGTACGAAGCGGAGCACGTGGGAGAAGATATCGCGATGTTTCTGGGACCTAGACGAGAAATGGAAAAAACGCGAAGCAAAGACGGTGCCATGATACGGTTCAGGACCTGCATCGGAACGTCTTTACGACCCGGACAGACGCCGAAGATACAACTCCGAATTCTTTCGCAAGAGAGCGTTCGAAATCGTGCTGAACAGGATGGAGAACGAACCGGCCGTCGGACTGGTGTCGGTATTCAGGGAGACTTTACTAAGCAGCGTGTCGGCGGACAGACTGTCGGACGTGGGAGTGGATTCGGCGTCGACGCTCGAGGACGTCCGGAATTTCGTGTACGAGCTTGCTCTGGTGCTCGTTTCCTATTCCAACTTGCCTCAGACCAAAAAGGATTTTCTACTGGATAACGCCCACGAAACCGCGGTGTACCTACTGAAGAGAACTTTGTACGGCGTACGAAGCGAGAACATGGAGGTACTTACGCCGAGGTTCGTTCGGTTAGGACCTCTGCCGGGCGATCGATTGATGTGGACCGTGTTTCAGGTTCGAACCGAGCGTCTGACGTATTGCTCGAGTCTGATACAGGGCATGATGGCCGAGAAGATTTGTCGATATCACCTGTTGAAATTAAACGCTCTTCCCTCTTAGTATTTGGTTTTTTTTTTGTCTTCTTTTTTCTTTTCGTCGTCTTGTGCTCCACAGCTTGCGCGGTGGTGGTGGTGGTGGTGGTGGTGGTGGCGGTGGCGGCAGTTTGATCGATTTTCCTCTTGGCATTCGAGTCGTTTGCAAAATTTGCTCCTGAATGCCAAGACGAAGAACGCATTAGATCTTCGGCAGCCAAACGCCACGACATGTTGTAATGTTGTTTTTCTTACCGACTGTGTTTTATTTGTTTGGTCATTAATGTTATATTAGCCGAAAAAAGAGAGAGAGAGAGAGAGAGAGAGAGAAAGAAAATGTACAATGCGTCGACTTCGGCCACCGCAGCCGCCCCAACCGCCGCCTCCGCCGCCACCACCACAACCACCACCACCGTGCCGCGCGTTCAGAAAAGAAAAACGTCGGAACCGGAAGAATGGGATGATGATACATTCGAAGGTGAAAAAGACAAAGATCGAAGATACGCGGTATCGAAAACGCGTACACCAAGAGCTCGCATCGGCGACGCTGGACACGGCATCGCTGATGCGACTGATGTCGACGGCGTACAGGAGCGGATACAATCCGACCGGATCCATGATGGGACTCGATCCGCAGCTCGTACGAGTGCACGGATTCGATCCCGTTTCGCTGGCGCGTTCCTTAGCGCCACCATTGACCGAGGATGCACGCAAGAGACGAAGACCATGTTCGAAAATCTGAAGGTGTTGATCGACTTGCTGCAGAAAATGATAGGCGAAGCCGAAATGTCCGAAACCGTCCGGGAGATGTGCGATTCGTTATTCCTCGGAGGTTGCTTTATGAATACGGACCAGTCGAGAAGATATTTTACGTTCAAAAACGGTAAACTGTTGCAGATAAAGACGATCATCGCGATCAACTTCCACGGGATGAATGCGGTGCCCGGGATCCACTCGTGCGCATTGAAATCGGGCAAATCGGCTTCCCCGCTACAGCTGGGCATGTACCGACCGGGCGTGCGATTGACGATGAAGGAGTTTTCGCAAAATATCTTCGTCAGTTCGAAGGGAAACGAGGGAGTTCGTCATCTGCGGTTCGCAAAGGACAGCGGTCTGAACCAACAAGACTTCGAACGGCTCCGGAGGGCATGCACCCACATGTTGAACGTGGAGGTGGGCACCTGTCTCTTATACACATCTAGATGTGTATAAGAGACAGGGTACGACAAGTTGCACTTGATTCTCACGTGTTTGGTTTTCGGACGAATCGCCAAGCATATCGGAGATAACGAACTCATGCATCGACCGGACATGTGGAACCTCGTGTTCGGTTCGAGCAAAGAGATCACCGCCTCCGGTTGGTCGTACGAGAAGATCGACAACGAGATATCGGTCGAGATGGAGCACTGGGAGAATAACGATCTGGTGTTCGCTCACGCCATGTTTCTGAATCTCGACAAAATGGAAGAACGGCCGACCGTTGCATGGGTACAGAGAATGGCAGTACTCGTCGAAACGGAATTTGGAGTTCACGAAAAAAAACGCTCTCGATTTGAATTTCGACAATTTGCTAGGATCGGTGTCTTCCTACATCGAACAGAAACCATTTCTGAACTCGAAACGAATCGACAATGCGTTTATCGATGGAGTAACGATGGAATTGGGAGAGTTCAAAACAAGACAAACGCCGTTCGGCACGCCGACCAGCGACGAGTTACCGTAGACCGATTGCTGCCACTTCGAGGCCAACGTAGCCGCTATCGCATTCGGCGCTCTCTGCAATTTAAAGTACAGCCAAACCACCGTCGACACCATAAACCTCGACACCGTTACCAAAAGCATGGAAACATACGAACGTAGCCGGTACGAGGTGTCCGATGCCAGCTACGCTCAATTGAGAAATCTCGAGGCTTCCCGGAGACCGGAAGTGATCGAGATCGATGAAGACGATGAAGACGAGGAGGAGGAGGAGGAGGGAGCCCGAACACCAGTTAGAGCGGCGGCGAGAAACGGCACGGTGTCGATTTTAGATTCCGAGGCAATCGATAACATGATGGTTGAAGCAAGGGGGGTGTGGAGGAGGAGGAGGATGAGGAAGGGGAAAACTACGAAGACGATGATGACAGAACGGTTGTGGACGAGACGGAGGATGTACATGTGACGACAGTAATCGATAGCTTTCTAAATACGCCAGAGTTCCAAGCGCCAGAAGAACCGGAAAGTCCAGCATACGACTTGTTCGATAACAGCGAAGAATCTCGGTGGGTGTTTAATGTACCAACTCCCGGAGGAGGAGGAGGACAACAACAACAACAACAACCGGAGGAGAACGCGGAAGAGCGCGAAATTGAAACCGAGTCTCTGGTGAAACAAGTGGAGAGCATGCAAAGGGAAAAGGTTAAGGCCGAAGAGCGGGAACGAAAAGCAATCGAGACTTTGGAAAAAGAAAGGGAAGAGATGGCCAAAATGAAACGGAATTTGGAAACAAGAAATTCAGAATCGGCTCGGGAAAACGAACGAAAGGATATGATCTTGGCCGATGCCAAAAATAATCTGAAACGGACGCAGGAGGAATTGGCAGAGGCAAAGTCCGCCGCCGAGCGAGCCAAGGTGGAATTTCACGAGTTCGAATGTCGGAATTAGAAGACAGAATGAAGGAACAGTCGGATGCGCAGGCTGCGATCAAGCAGCTGGAAGCTGAACTGAGTGCTAAGAAGGAAAGCTTGCGCCAAAACGATGTGAAGGTGAGCGTGATGTCAGAGGAACTGAAAAAGGTCCGAGAGAACATAAAAGAATTGAGCGAGAGAGCATACGAAAGCGCAACCGAAACCGAAGATAGCATTTCGGACGATAACGTTAAAGTCGGATTCGACGCTCTAACCGCCAGAATCGAGGACGGCCAGCGGCAATTCGAATCGGCCCAGCAAGTCATCGACGATCTTCAGACAAAGTTAATGATATAATAATGAACTGTTAATCGCGAGAACGGAATTGATAAAACTTTCCACCGAGACGAAAGGTCTCGAACGTCTGTTGGAAATGTCGCAGAAGCGGCACGAGAAATTGACCGCGCAGGCCGAATCCGATATTAGATCGTATCAGGAAACGACAGCTGATCTGACCGACCGGATCGAAAGCGTTCACGCCAAGGAGATATCGTCTTTGAGCGAAACGATAGACGAACTGAAGGGACGGTTGGACGAGGCCACCAAGGCACGAAAACCCGAGAGACAGCCCGACGACAACATGCTGCTGAAGGAAGCGAACCGATTGAGAGAATCGGCGAAGACGACTGAATCTCAACTGCGACGTTTGCAACAACAGCTGGATTCCAAGAGCCAAGAGTTTGAAATGGAGAAACGCAAGAGAAAAGAAACGGAGGCGAGACTGGCCGCCGAAATCGGCCGAACGCACGAAAAATCGAACGAGGCGGTTCTTCTGGAGAAGACGCAAGACGAGCTGAGAAGCGTCGAGAAGAAACTTAGAGCGGCGAACGAGAGAGAGATTAAGACGAAAGCAAAACTCGATTCCAAAATCAAGGAAAT